TTCCTGCTCCTTGTCCAATTTATTTTCTCTTTTGTTTCCTGATCAGCTAAAACATTGTTTATTGTTGAAGATAATTAGCTCTGAATGTTTATAATCGTTCTGCTTTTTATCGCCTACTTTCATGTTGGCAGGGAGATGCCAAGATGAAGAACTACAGAAATTCCTGAGAGTCAGAAGACTGCCACCCTCCCAAAAGTTTCCATGTTCTCTCTCAGGACCGTTCCATTAATGTCTCTATAGTTGGGGGTTGGCCATTTTGGGGACATTATTTTACTCACATCTTCCATATTTAGTTTATGTGGAAAGCCATTTTAAACCACATAGTGGATTGCTAATGTCACCACACAGGCTCTGGGTCTAAGATCTGCATCCTTTGCTAAACACTAGTATTTTCCTCTGATTGATGGAAAATTTCCCCCCTTATTATACATATGCATATCTGTATGTATGTATGGATGATTGGATGGATGGATGGATGGATGGATGGTCGGAGCTGATTTTAATTACATGCTGTTCATGCCATTGGTTTAAGGAAAACATATTTTGAAATTCAGCTTCACTTTGACATTGAAAACCAGAAGATCTTCTTCACAGTTATTAACTTATTGATAATACTAGAGGCTGAGTGCACAAAAATTTGTGCACTCGGGGTGTGTGTGGGGGGGTCACTCAGCCCCGCCTGTGCCCTCTCGCAGTCTGGGACCCTTGGGGAATGTCCATCTGCTGGCTTAGGCCTGCTCCCCGGGGGGTTGGGCCTAAGCTGGCAGTGAGACATCCCTCTGGCAGCCTGGGAGCCCTTGGGGGATGTTCATTTGCCATCAGGGAGCAGGCCTAAACTGCAGTCAGACATCCTTAGCACTGCTGAGGAGGTGGGAGAGGCTCCTGCCACCATCGCTGTGCTGGCAGCCATAAGCCTGGCTTATGGCTGAGCAGAGCTCTCCCTGTGGGAATGCACTGACCACCAGGGGGCAGCTCCTGCATTGAGCGTCTGCCCTCAGGTGGTCAGTGTGTGTCATAGTCAGTCATTCCCAGTCATTCTGCTGTTAGGGTCAATTTGCATATTACCCTTTTATTATATAGGATAATAGTGTTGGCTTTGGGAAGTGCTATTTTAAAATACAATATGAATCTTGTATAACTTATTTTATTTAATAGATTTTTTTTTAAGTCTGGCTTGTAGAGGAGCACAGGTTCAACACTTAGCCTGACTTTGGAACTCATTCTAAATAAAAAACAATTTTGAATGACTAAATACAGTTTATATGAAAATCTAAGGTTGTTATCAAATTGTAGTTATACAAGAAAAATGACCTACTGAGTCATTTAAGTAGTCTGTTCCTCAGTGCATGTAAAACAGAAATTGGTTTTTATACTGAACTACAATAGAGATTAGAAAAGTTGATTTCAGCTTTTCAGGAATAGTGCTACGGTGTTATGTGCCATACCATGAAAGTCTAGGAATCTCATTGGGGTAGGTAGGAAGGGAAAGAAAAAAAATTCCTTTCTGTTAGTTCCAGTTTGCCCATTAATTATACTATACCAGAGGCCTGGTGCATGAAACCGTGCATGGGTGGGAGTCCCCTCAGCCCAGCCTGCACCCTCTCCAATCCGGGACCTCTTAGGGGATGTCCTACTGCCAGTTTAGGCTCGATCCTGGGGATCAGACCTAAACCGGCAGTCGAACATCCCTCTCACAATTTGGGACTGTTGGTTCCTAACTGCTCACCGGCCTGCCTGCCTGAACACCCCTAACTGCTGCCCCTGTTGCCCTGGTAACCCCCAACTGCTGCCCCCGCTGGCCTTGTCACCCCTAACCTCCCCCACCCACCGGCGTGGTTGCACGTTCCTGCCCCCCCTCCTGGCCTGGTCACTCCTCACTGCCCCCCCTGCCGGCCTGGTCACCCCCAACTGCCCCTCCTGCCGGCCTCGTCATTCCTCACTTTCCCCTTCTGCCAGCTTGGTTGCCCCTAATTGCCCCCACACACTGACCTAGTCACCCCTCACTGCCCCCCTCTGCTGGCCTTGTTGCCCCTAACTGCCCCCTATGCCAGCCTGGTTGCCCCATGCAGCCTGCTGTTCAGTCATTTGGTTGCCCCTCACTAAACTCCCTGCCAGCCTGGTCACCCCACACAGCCTGCTGTTTGGTTGTTACAGTGAGGGCATCCTGACCAATTTGCATTTTACCCTTTTATTAGTACAGATGAATGATGTTTCTAAGGATCCCTAAATAAAATAAAAATAAAAAGGTAGGACAGTAAAAGTCTCCAAAAACCAAGGTAAGTTAGCAATCAATGTATTTCTAATGATTATAATACAACTAGAGGCCCAGAGCATGAAAATTTATGCACTGGAGGGGTAGTCCCTGAGCCTGGCCTGCCCCCTCACACAGTTCAGGAGCCCTCAGGGATGGGAGGCGACCTGGCGATCAGAGGAAGGTGACGCCCCCATCACAGGTCTGCTGCTGCCACTGCCGGCAGTGCAAACCTTGGCTGGCCCTGGTTACCTGAGCTTCAGGTGGCCCTGGGCGGCTGAGCAGCTGCCATCTGAGGCTTGCCTGCACCTTGGGCCAGCCCTGAGCGGCTTGGGGGCTGAGGGAACTGTGCACCGTCATCTTATGGCTGTGGGCACTGCCATCTTTGAGGACATGGCAGTTAATTAGTATAGTCCCTCCTTAATGGCTGTGGGCGCCACCATCTTTGAGGGCGGGCAGTCAATTAGCATATTCCCTCCTTATTGGCTGTGGGCACTGCCATCTTTGTGACAGCGTGAGGGTGAGTTAGCATATTCACTCTTTATTAGATAGGAAATTAAAAAGCTAATCTTTTATGTTTCAATTTTCCTTAATTCATATTAAATATAAATTGTAGCTTGTGAAAAATCTTTCCAAAATAAATTATGTTCAATTAATAAGATAGTGCATATAACCATTTTTTGCCTACTGAAAACATAAGTACATAGTCTGACTCTGACATCTTTATCTTTTTTGTTATTGTTAAAACACAGTAGAAAAATATAATTTATTAAATGTACTAAAATAGAAGGATCTATAGTCTCTGTTCTTCCCAAACTTCCAAATACCTAAACTGACAAGAAATAAGCATGAAAATGATCATAAATCATTTATGTTACTTGTGATTTTATTTTGTAAACATCTCTCCAATTAGGTATTTTCAATGAAATAAAAATTAAAAAGGAGATAAAAAAAGCATAGTCTCCGTTTATGATGACCACTCTTCAAATACTGTGCAGTTTAAAGGACTACACATAAAGAGTCTATGAATATATGGTAATATAGAGAAATGGAATATAATCTAAATTATCTGAGGTTCAAATGCATCATTACCATTTAAAATAAAATTAAAACCCAATTTTGCCTTAAAATAGTTACTTTTCAAAGAAAAGTATAATATACATGATTCCTACATATAACCTGAGCCCATTAGCCCATAATTGGAATTTCTTTAAAAGGCAGCTATAGTATATGTTAAAGGCATCTTGAACTTATTTTAGACAATAAAATTATAATCTCTCATACTCCATAAATTGTGTGATTGTGTGATGGACAGAAAAGATGTATCCAGAGAAAATACTAATGGATTTATATAATTTAATGGGTCACGGTTTAATTTTTGAAGTAATGAAAACATTACAAGTTTTATTCTTTATTCTCTTTTGGTGGAACCACAAACATTGTAAAGCATGGAAATTTGGAAGGGAGACTATTTTCTATTGATTGGAGGGAACAATTTTCCAAAATACCAGCCCTCAAATAGTAAGACTTAAAAACCTTTCACTTAAATGAAGCACTTTACAGCTTTTCTTTGGAATATCTGAATTACCAGCATCACTATTCTTGCACTTTAGGGCCATTATTAAGTAAAATAAGGGTTATTTGAACATAGGCCCTGAGATACCATAGCAGTCAATCTGATAAGTAAAGGAATTACCAAGTGACTAATGTGCTATATGGTATACAGCAAGGATAGGCCACATAAAAGGACGATTCATGTCCTGAGGCAGATGAAACATGGCAGAACTAGATTTCATCATCTTACTCAGAATGGCATGTGGTTTAAAACTTATGAATTATTTACTTCTGGACAAGATACTATGGTTCCATGCAGCTAGTAGAAACTTAAGATATAGGATTAAATTCAATAGAGTTAAACACAACAATTTGATTTTTAAAAACTTTCTATTTTCAAAATTACAAATGTTTCATATAAGCTGCATGATAGTGAAAGGTTGAAAACCACAAGCTTTAGCCAAATTTCCTCTTTACTCACAAAATCCTCCTTCCTCATCTGCCAACTATAATGACACTCTAATCAATAATTAGATTACTGCAATTCTACTTGAAAACTGGAATGCAGAACAAAATATAAGGGACTGGTGTTTTTCAAATGATACTCAGGTTCTATTTTATTCAGTAGTCATTCATGTATTCGACAAACAAGAAACCAAAGGATAAATAGTATACATCTTTCCTGAAAAGAAGATAGCTTGTTAGTTCAATGAAAGTCACTGGAGATGAAAAATAAAAACAGAAGTTATGGAAGGCCACAATATCAATAATGATTAATCTGAAGAACTGGAAAAAATATAAAAATAAAAATTCTACTATAAACTTATATTCAAATTATCACCTTTGTAGAAAAAAAGATAATATTAATTATATCCTGATAAATCCCTAAAAGTTTATATAAAACAAAACTGTGGCAAGAAGGAAAATATATTCATCTTGTTAATACTTTTTTCCTAATGTTAGAAATAATTTGATAAGGTGTGCAATTTACCTATTTCACTATTAGTGGCAACATATAGTTTCCTCTCATCTGTTTGCATTTATAGAAGATAGAAGACTTCTACTCTAATAAACTGACAACCTAATAACTTCTCTTCCTACTTTAAAGCTTGTAAAAGTTATCTTTGCCTTCTTGGTTTTTCAAACTAGGACATTAAATATGACAGTTTAAAAGTTCAAATAAAAATATTTTTATAACATATGTGGTAATAACTTACTTTGCTTTAGTAAAAAGTCATACACTTGAACATTTTAAAATTTGTTCATTTTTTTTTTGCCATTGGATAGTGTTCCTTTACATCCTTCACGCCACTCACATGGAATTTTACTTCCTAAGCCAGTTGCTGTTGAAATGGCATGAAGGTGAGAGAATAGGAAAGGAATGTACCAAAAAAGTGAAATGAGTCTGAAAAAACGACCACAGGGCTCCCGCACTGTGAAAGGGCACAGACCAGGCTGGGGAACGCCTCCCCCTACTCCGAGTGCATGAATTTCGTGCACTGGACCTCTAGTTTATATATAAATAAAAATAAATCAAACACAGAAAAGACTCACTAGAATATATGTAGTCATAGAAATATTAACTGACCATACTTTTCACCTCAAGAATTTGATGTTTCCAATTTGAAAGACTAACATTCAGGAAAGTGAAGGCACATATGAGTTATCATGGCAGGTACGTAATTAGGAAAACAGGAGGAAGCTACTCCTTCCTGAATGTGGCTTTCCCCACAACTCCAACAAGCCTTGCGAGCAGCTTCTAATAGCTATAGTCTCTTATCCACATCTCTCAAGAATGAAGAATCTCTTCAGGTAGGCACCTCAGAAAACACCCCCAGTCTCATTATTTTTTTTTCTCAGTGGATAGAGCATCACCGTGAAAACTGGGGTCAATTCCAGTCAAGGACATGTACCTTGGTTGCAGGCTCCTTGCTAGCCCTGGTTGGGGCTCCTGCAAGAGGCAATCAGTTAATGCGTTTCTCTCACATTAATATTTCTCTCTGTCTTTCCACCTCTCTTTCACTCTCTAAAAATCAATAGAAAAATATCCTTGAGTGAGGACTAAAAAAATAATAAAAATAAATAAATAAAAAGAAACAAAATATTAAAAAGTTAAAACAAAAAGAATCAACCAATGAATGCATAAATAAGTGGAACAACAAATTAATGTCTCTCCTCCTCTCTCTCTCTCCCCTTTCACTCTTTAAAATCAAGAAAAATAAAAATAGATTGAGTCATATACAGCTACTAAGCACTTATAATGTGGTTATTGAAACTGAAAAACTGGATATTCTTTTCGTTAATTTAAACAAAGAAGCATATGACTTGTGGCTAACCTATTGAGCAGCACACCCCTAAATTTTTCAGAGAAACAAACTCAACATAGACATGACATTCCAACCACAGAGGGGTGAGGGTGGTGGGGACTAGAAGAGATTAGACAAGCATATAACATGCACAGCCCATGGACATAGCAATGTGGTGAAGGCCAGGGAGGGGTGGAGGACTGGATGGAAGAGGGGACAATGGGGTTTAAAATGGGTACATCTGTAATAGTGTCAACAAAAATAAATAAGTAAGTAATTAAGTAAGTCAGTAAATAAATATTAACGGGTGGGTCATAACGTGGCTGCATTATATTATAGTCTATGCTGCAGTGATGCAGAGATTGGCAGATATGTCCCAAATGTTGATTTTCTGTTTAAACACAGAGGGGAAATTGGGGATTTCACCGTCTTAAGGCAAGGAGTGCTCATTACTGATACTTGTTTAGCTTTAGTATGGCTGGAAGGTGTTATCTTTCTCCCAGAGGTACAATAAGAGACATACATAGAATGAATCATGTACAAAGCTCTACTCAGAAGAAAAAGGATGACAATCTGAGTAAAATAATGAATATCATTGGCATCATAAACTTTGGTTGAATAAAAGGATTATGTTTTGAGGAAAAAAAACCCAAAATGCTAATCTTATCCTACGATGCTATTGAATGAAATAATTCCTAAGCAAGTGTAGAAATACCTCACTGTTGACTTTTCATGTCAGTAGATAGTTCAAAATGTCAAGGCAATACACATTCTGCTTGGTAAATTTGCCCCAGTGGGCATGTTCCTGAATAACTTTCCATGTACTGCAGCAGAGAAAACAACTGGCTTTCTTCCCAAAGTCCGCGTGGCCTCATCCCTCAGTGCTAGTGAGGGCACTAATAATGGGGAAAGTGCCTTCAAACAAATAGCAGCACATCCACAGGACAGAGAAAATTGTATTACAGAACCAATGTCCGTGAACCAATAACCATTCTGAAACATTTTAATGCCAGAGCTACAAAAAGCTTACTCCACTGAGGAAAAGGAGAACTTGTTAACAGGGAAACATATGTTTTCATTTGTCATTTTATTTTTTGAAGCACAAATATTAAATTTGAAGTTATCATTAGCATGTTAAGAAAGAAACACTAAAAACAAAGGGAAACTGAAGAATACAAAGAATATAGTATTTAGCCCTAACTGGTTTGGCTCAGTGGATAGAGTGTCGGCCTGCGAACTGAAAAGTCCCAGGTTTGATTCTAGTCAAGGGCATGTACCTTGGTTGTGGGCACATCCCCAGTAGGAGATGTGCAGGAGGAAGCTTAACGATGATTCTCTCTCGTCAATGTGTCTAACTCTATCCCTCTCTTTCCTCTCTGTAAAAAATCAAAATATATATTTTTTTAAAAAAGGAATAGAGCATTTAAATGTGTAGCTTGGAGTATTAGAAATTGGGTATAAATTGAGTTAGTTTTTTCCCCTCACATATTAATTTCTCCTTCTTTGTAAGGAAGAAAAATAATGATGGAATTCAAACTAATACAGCAGCATTCTAACCTAGTTATAAAATAACTAGAGGCCCAGTGCATGACATTCATGCACTGAGGGTGGCAGGGGGGGGGTCCCCTCAGCCAAAGACCTCTCAGGGGACAGTCCCCGAGGGGTCATTAGCACTGCAGCAGAGGTGGGAGAGGCTCACACCACAGACACTGTGCTGGTCAACCATGAGCTGGCTTCTGGCTGAGCAGCACTCCCTCTGTGGGAGCACACTGACCACTAGGGGGCAACTCTTTTGTTGAGCATCTTCCCCCTGGTGGTCAGTGCATGTCATAGCGACCAGTCGTTCGACCGTTTGGTCAATTTGCATATTAGCCTTTTATTATATAGGCTATTTTATTATATAACCTTTTCTTATATGTTTCTTGAAGTCATGACTTTCATCTTAGTTATAGAAATGTCACTGTTCTGAACCTTGATGCTATTTATTTTTTGAGTAATACCAAACACGTTCAAGTCATCTTGTCTTTCAAAATGACCTAGAAGACTTTCTCAATGGATGAAAACAAAGTGTTTCTATGTGTAAAATGGAGGTAAATAACAAATAGGCTATGGAGAGGATTAAAAGAGCTAGGATATGCCAAACACTTAAGACAAATAACCTATACCTGGTACATTGCAGGGGACTGTATCTATTCAACTCAAGCACACCCTACCCCACACTCCTTGCATCAATTCCTTTCCAAGAGCTAGAAGTGTGTATAACTGGTTTTAATGTAAAAGAGCCTTTATTATTTTTCTTTGTAGATTACCTACATCAAATATAACTGGCAAACAGAAGAAGAAAATATGCAGAAAACTGAAAAGAAGCCAAAGGAGAAGCAGGAAAGAAAAACCCAAAAGCCTCAATAACAGTAGATGTGGTTTTCAGACAGTAGTCCCTGGCACAGGAATGGTATTAATGGTTGGTGACAGTTGATAACAAGTAAAGTAGAAGAGACCCCCTAAGATAGGGTGATCAACACTGTTAAATGTTGCAAGTGTTAAAGAAGACATAGTCTGAGGAAAGTCCATGGGAGTAAGCCATCATATAGCCAATATTCTACCATTTCAGGAGGAAATTCGATTGTAAAAATGTTAAGAAATGAATGGGAAGAATGAAGTGGTCAGTAAATAATTTTTTTTTCTGATCAATAAGGGATACAAAGGAAAACAAAGAATGATAGTCAGAATGTAAGAAGAGGAGATAAAACTCAAGGAATGGATTAAATATGTTTTAATCCATATATTAATATATTAACTGTATAGAGAAAAGCTGATCATGTTTCAGCCCATTCAGAGAACTAACTGAATAAGGTAGTATTTGCAAAACAGGCCTTAATACATATTATACCATCAGATAAGTTAATTCAAGGTTACTGTATGCAGAGTGTTGGTCTTAAATAAAATGACATATAAAATATTATATTAAGTAAAATGGCATATATACATATTATATTATACTAGAGGCCCGGTGCACAAAATTCATGCAAGGGGCTTGGTCCAGGCCCCTGCCTGCCACCTCTGCCTCAGCCCCTGCCCTCTGCGGCTTTGTTGGAAGGAAGGACATCTGGAAGGATGTCCAGTCTAATTAGCATATTACACTTTTATTACTATAGATTATATGTATTTGTTCATTGGTTGGTGGATATCCCTCACTGCATTTGAAAATAATCTTCAAAATGAACTTTATCAAAATGTGACATCAAAACTCGCATGGGAGGAAATAGTAGTGTGTGTGTGTGCCTTAGAAACTCAACTTAAGACTAAGAGTATCCTTTGAACCCATTTGGTGGCAACTGTAATAATGTCTTTTCTTTCTTGCTGAGCTCTGAAGCAATCGAGCCATTTTTAGTTAATTTAGGATGTGTCTGTCATCAAAACAAATCTAAAATGCAAGCAGCAGCAACTTTATTAGCACATACTGATCCCAGGGGTGATAAATATGTTTGTTTACTTATAAGTGCAAGCGTAACTGTTGGCAAAAGAGCAACTGCTCAGACTGCTAAGTAGATACGATTCACATTAAATATAAAGTGATGTATAATCCAAATAATTTTCAGAAACTATACCAGCAATGGTACCCTTCCGTGGCATCAAGGGCCATATTGTCAACCTGTGAGAAACATCAAGGTTGTTGATAATTTCCATTAGTTTACATATATTAACATATGATTTGCATCTAAGTACTTCAAAATTTTAGTTTCCCAAATATTCACTACGCATTCTATGTTATTGTCTGACATTTGTCTAACACAGCAGAGTATCTCATTCTTTCTTGGGCTTTTCTTTCTTCCCTGAAGATGTGTACACTCGGTCAAATGGGTAGAATGGGTTTTTAAATGCTCCCCAGTGGAACATGATTGGCCAGAAGCTTTCATCTCCTTTCCTTTTATTCTCTCTACAATGTGCTCTCTGCAATCTTGTCCCTTGGAACGCTGTGTCATCCTGATTGCTGTCCACCGGCACTCCTGGATTTGAAGGGCGTGGCACAGTGTGCACCTCTGTGGAACAGCAGAGCCAGCTGGGTGTAGATGTACACACTACATAGTAAATGGTCTTGCTGATGAGGGAAGATGGGTCTTGGTAAATGGGAAGAAAAAGGTAAGCACAAAGCAGAAGAAGCTGCCAAAACCTTTAACCTAAGGAAATACTATGGCGTAAAGGAGAGAAGGGCGGGGGTTCAGTGAAGCTAGCCAGGCAGAGCTTGCAAAATAGGCTGGCAAGAGACCACTCCTCATAATATGTCAATCCCTCGGGGCCAATAATGGTTTCCAAATGGGACAGGGGGGAGATACTCCCAGGGCCTGTGATTTTCATAGGCAACAGGAGACATTAATTACTCATGTTTGGAGGATTTTACGCACTGGCAGCCCTTCACGTCGGGTAGTTTGATACAAATACACACCCGCCCACATGCTTCACAGCAAACCTGTTTTCCATCTCGCCCATTCCCAGAATGAGAATGTGGATGTCCTTTCATGTCAGGGTGAAAAGTTTGACTAAATAATTAAGTCCTCCTGCTTGATAGAAACAATGCCAAGTTCTCTCTGAAAATGGCTGCATTTCCAACAAAGTATTAAAGTAAACAAAAGAGGAAACTGATTTTTAAAACAGAAAAATTTGTCAACAATCTTGAAGGAAAGATCAAAACAGTTTCTTCAGAAAGCATAAACACATCCCAAAGGCCACTGATTCAGTTCATCCCTTGAATTCTTCTTTTTTAAAATATATTTTATTGATTTTCTACAGAGAGGAAGGGAGAGAGACAGAAAGTCAGAAACATCGATGAGAGAGAAACACCAACCAGCTGCCTCCTGCACACCTTCTACTGGGGATGTGCCCGCAACCCAGGTACATGCCCTTGACCGGAATCGAACCTGGGACCTCTCAGTCCGCAGGCCAACGCTCTGTCCACTGAGCCAAACCGGTTTTGGCCCCTTGAATTCTTTATGCAATGAAATGTCTGAGGATTGTGATATGGCTTTATGAGGGAAAAGGAGGAGTATCAGATTTACCTCAGATCTGATTTCCTTTGGGACTGAGGGTACATCCTTCAAGAATTCTCATTGGTGTAGGAAATGTTGGATATAACCAGGTTTCAACGCTCCCAACAAAGTCTAGTAATAGTTCCCATCACAAGCTCACTTGCCTAAGAAGTTGCATATAAATTGGCATTTATTTGGATGGTGAGTCTAGAAAATCAGCTTGGCTATACACTAGTACAGCTTCAATTTTGGTACAATATAAAATGGCATTTGCCAATTCCTGAAATATTTAGTTTTGGTAGGAGTATCTCTCAGTGAAATCGCCACAAAAATGAATTTCAGAGTTCTTTGTAAGAAAGGCCATTGACTGATACTTTACTGGGGTTTCAGTTCAAGGGTCCTGACTGCGGGGCTAAATAGGAGCTAGAAAGCAACAACTTCAGATCTCCAAGCACAAGACACCATTGTGCAGTTAATGTGGAATGTGAGCAGTATTAGCTCAATGGTGTTAAACTACTGAGGGTATTCAAGCTACCATTCAAACATTGAATACAAATGAATAAAACATTTATATACTAATGCAATCTATTTCTGCACTCATTACATCAATCTTTAAAATTTTTAATTATTTTTGTTGTGAATCCTCAATGTGAGATTTATTCTCTTGACAAATTTAAGTGTACAATACATTATTCACCAGTTGGATCCTTAATTTTTCAGTCATAATATATGATATAAAACTAAGATGCAAAGCCCCAAATACCAATCTCTAATGACTTTGTCCATGTATTGGGACACAGTAGTAAAGATAGATGAAGGGTAATAGAGATTTGTTTCTCTGGTCTTCAGTCCTTCTCAGACAACATACCTTGACTATAGGAAAAATAATGTGTTTCATTATGACTTTATCGCTTCACATGATTATTTATAGCATTCTGACAACTCCCAACTTCCAGACTTTGTTGGAACATTGAAGCCTGGTTATATCCAACATTTCCTACACCAATGAGAATTCTTCTTGAAGCATGTACCCTCAGTCCCAAAGGAAATCAGAATCTGATTTAAATTTCATACTCCTCCTTTTCCCTTATAGAGCCATCTCACAATCCTCAGACATTTCATTGCATGAAGAATTCAAGGGATGGACTGAATCAGTGGTCCTTGGGATGTGTTTATGTTTTCTGAAGGAACTGTTTTGATCTTTTCTTCAAGATTGTTGACAAAATGTTCTGTTTTAAAAATCAGTTTCCTCTTTTTTTAACTTTAATACTTTGTTGGAAATGCAGCCATTTTCAGAGAGAACTGCTCATCTAACTATATCAGATGAACAGTTATGAAGTTAACTACAGTTGAGGGTGGTGGTCAGGGGTTGGGAGGCAGGGTGCGTGGCACCCAGAACACTTGCTTAAGACTCAATAAACTGCCTATTGGCAAAAGGAAATGGGAGAGAGAGTGAGTTTTTCCAAGAAGAAACACTCTCACAGCGAAGTCAAGAACTGCCCATTTAAAATCTTGACATTTCCGGAGGTCTAGGATTGATTTCATTTTAATCTACCCTAGAAGGTGGTTGGAAGAGAAGGAAATCTTGTAAAGGACCACGTTCAGTTTTATGTTTCAATGGATATATTATAAAAACATCAACTCTTTTAGCAATTTCTTTTAGCAATCATGAAACAAAAGCTCAACTATGTTTTTGTAAAAGGAAATAGGCAATATAGTATTTTATGTAGTACTTTATAATGCAGCTAAAACTGGCCCTAGAGCAAGGTAAACCCACTAAAGTTTCATAAAATCTACTCTTCAACTATGGATTTTCTTTGTTATGTTTTCATACATCTCTCTCTTCACATTGGCACATCCACTCTCATAGATACACAAACTCTATC